GGCTGGGGACCACCAAGGGGGCGGAGCGGCCTCCTGGGGGTGGGGCTGACAGTGTGTCGGCATCCTCGGAGCCCATGGCCACTGCCCAGCGCGTGCTCAGGCCGAGTGGCTGAGCCTGCACTGGGCCACCTGCCAGGTGGGCCGTGGACAGGTGTGTGTGGGCCTCAGGTGTGCTAGCTTTTACAGGAGGTCACAGCAGCTCTGCAGGCGGCCCGGGAGCCCTGGGCCCTGCCCGGGATTGAGGCCCTTCCCCCCAGCCACCCCCCCCTCGATCCCCAAAGCTCATCGTCTGCAGATGCGGAGGAACCAGGGAGACAGCCCCCAGAGCGTGGACTTGTCCCTGGTTTGTCATTGCAGGGCCTGGTGCCCGAGGTGCGCCCCCAGAGCTCATTCCTGCCAGGAACGCAGTCCGGCCCCTCCACCAGCCGGGGTGCCCGTGCCGGCCCAGGTGTGGGCAGGGGGTGGGCCAGTCTGGAGCATCCTGGGGGGAGGCTGGGTGAGAATCCCATCTGAGAGGCTGGCAGGCTGGGCCTGGGGAGGGTGCCCGAGGGGCTTGGGCTCAGTCCCTGGGGCCAGGCCTGGAGGCTCACCTTGGGAATGGCTGTCTGACTGGCCGGCCCTCACAGGGCCCCGGTGTCCTCACCTCCGAACCCTGGGGGGCTGAGCCCCGAGCCCCTTCCATCATGGCAGCCCCACGCTCCATCCTGAGCAGACCCCCCAGGGCAGGGCCAGCCCGGCATCGGGGTGGGGGGTGGGGAGGGTCTGGAAGCACCTGCAGGTCCCAGGACCTGCACAGCCGCGGCCGGCCACTCTGGGACGGTGGGGCCATCCCGGCTCCCTGGGGCTCACCTGCACGCCCTGCCCCGGTCAGTGCTCAGCCCTCAGCGAGGTGACCGCCATGGCCCCTCCACCCGGGCCCTGAGCTGTCCCCTTCCTGTGGGCGGCCTCAGGGGGCACAGTGCCAGCTCCCCTGGTCACGTGGACCGTCCGAGTGGCAGGCCAGGAGGCACCTGGCAGCGGGAAGGGGACTGCGTCCATCGCCCCAGGCCTGTGACCCCTCCCTTCCGCCCTTCCTCCCGGGGAGCCCCCCTCTGCCCCCTCTGCCAGCGCCCGAGTCCTTCTCTCCGGGCCAGAGCCAGGCGCCCACAGTCGGCCCGGCACCCGGCACTGCCGGCTGGGAAAGGCCGTGGTCCCCACGCCCGGTGCCCGGAGGCCCAGGACGAGGCGGGGGGTACGGGAGGGAGTGTCTGTGACCGCTCTGGGAGAGAAGGATCGTGGGGACGTTTGCTTCTTGGTCAGTGACCGGGGCCGGCACGGTGGCGCGGAGGCCGCTGCTCTGGCACCTGGGCGGCTTTGGTTCTGCTCCTGGCAGAACGGGTCGCCCTGGGCCAGCGGAGCCCCGGGCGCCTGGCTGCCGTTTTGTTATTATTTGAACCCGTGCCCAGCTGGCTTCTGTGGGGTCACCTTTGGGCCAGGCTCCCAGCGGACGAGGGGGGTTCGGGTTGGACTGGCCGCATGGGGGGCCCCCGCCCAGAGGTTGCCCTGCCTGCCGCCTTCAGAAGCTCCTTTGTTTTCTGCCCATTGTGACCAACGTCCTGCTGATGCCCACAGCTGCCGGGTGCCACCCCCTCCGGGGCCCCTTCCAGGGTCCTGAGGGGGGGGGTGTCCCCGGCCCCAGCTGGCAGCTGAAACTGGTGACTCCTCTGCCCTGTTCCCAGCGTCCGGAGCCCAGGGCTCCTGTGGGGCGGAGGCTCGTGGTGAGGGAGGGATCGGGGGCCGTGGAGCGTGGTTTTGGCCTGGCCACTGCCCGGGGTCTGCCCACCGTCCCCGTGGCCGCCCCGTGCCCGCCACAGACGCCGCCGAGGGCGCGGCTCCAGCCCCTGTGCCGTCCCTGGAAGTTTACAGGTTGTGGCATCTCAGCCCAAAGTCACTGGCGTTGTGTGTTAGATTGTTTTCTTAGTTTTCAGGTTTTTTTTTTAAACAAAGTATTTTTTTAAGTACAATCACCCAGAAAGGGCCGTCAGGTGTGTGTGTGTCCTGAGCCCCAGTCTCCGGCCCAGCGGAGGGGCCAGGCCCCCTGCCCGCCGCCCTGGGTCCCAGCGGGGGGGGGGGGGGGGGGGGGACTCCAGCTGGGGAGTCCCGGCTGGGCTGGGGTGTGGAGCTTTGGGAGCGGAGCCCCTGTACGTGGTGACTGTCCCGCCCGGGAGGGCACGAGGGACGCTGGACAGACCGCCGCCAACCGCCCCTTCGCCTTGTACTCGTGTGTCTTGTTTTTCTGCGTTTTAATAAACCCTTTGGGAAAGACCGAGCCTGTTCTCCCTCCTTTCTCACGGCCTGGAAGGGGGTGGGGCTGGGAGCATGGGGCGCAGAGGGGTTTGGGGGATGAGGGGATACTTGAGAAGACCCAGCCCCACAGGGCTGACGGGCCCCCTGGGAGAAGGGGGCACCCAGAGAGGGGTGTGCCTGGGTGGTGCCCAGCCCTCCCACCTACACCCCTCAACCCAGCCCCCACTGCATCAGAGAAACACTGACCCCCAACCTGTGTCCCCAAAGGGCACCGAGCCCCCCAGTAGCCAGAGAGTATGTAATGGTGGTGGGGGCACCCCCACTCCTGAAACACTTGGGAGAGATGGGGTGGGACTGGGCCCCCAATCTCTGCCTCTGCACCAGGGCCCTTTTCTCCCAGCCGCCCTTGGCCACAGTCTTTGGCGGCCCCGTCTGCTGGATGGCGGCACCCCCCCCCCCCCCAGCCCCGAGCCCCCTCCCGCCCCAGCCGGAAAGGAGAGGAGCACAGCGGACGGACCCCGGCCTGAGTTTATTGGTCATTCCATAAATACGGCGCTGGGCACGGCGGACGGTGGAGTCACGCGGAGGGAGTGGAGCCGGGGAGCCACAGTCGATAAAAAACCGGGGAGAAGCGTTATTTACAGCCCGCAGACGGGGAGCCCCCTGCCCGGCCAGGGCGGCTGAGGGCGGGGCTCCATGTGGCATCAACAAGAAAACCCACCACCTGTCCCGGGCCAGGTCCCTTGCAGGGCACTTCTGGGGGGGGGGGAGGCAGGCGGGGGCAGCGCCCCATCCTGTGCAGGGGCCGGGCCACTCTTGGGGCCACCTTGCCCAGCTCACGCCTTTCCCGGCTCTGACTTCCTCTCCCCACTCCAGCTCCCTCCTGGCTCGGGGCTCTGTCCCCCAGGAGGCAGAGGCCCCTCAGAATCAGGCCGGGCGAGGGCCGAGGCTGCTGGGTCCGGTCTGGCCGCTCCAGCCTCTGGGGGCTCACCCCGGCCTGCCCGCCTCTGGCCACCCCGGGGCCGATGGGCGGCCTCCCAGGTGTGGCTTGTGGGCCCTGCCAGTCCGGTCCCGGTTAGTGGGCGCCAGCAGGTGGTCTGGGGCCCAGCCACTCCCCCAGGGTGGGTGTGCCTCGAAAGAATGCCCCCACAGGGCCATCCTCAGAGCAGGATGCCCCCCCACCCCCAGGATGGGGAGTGGCACCGGCTGGCACCTCAGCAGGATCGGCGCTGCCCACACCCCACACCCACAGGTGAAGCTTGCAGGGGACGAGATGGAGATGACCCCAAGGGCCAGGCCTATGAGGAGGGAAGGTTCTAGACTCCGGGCTCAGCACGGAGGTCAGGAGTGGAGAGCTGTCGCCGCCCCCTCGCCTCTGTGGCTTTTCTCAAAGCCCTTTCCCAGCCTCAGCCTCAGCCAGGGCGGGGTGCGGCTCTGCAGATGGCGGGGGGTGCAGGGGGTGGGGTGGGGGGGGAGGAAGCCTGGGGGCCGTTCTGCACACAGGACCGCTGTGCCTGCCTCCTGGCGAGGGGAAGGGTGTGGGGTGCCTCTGGGGCTGGCACATCCGTAGCGCCTGGCTCCTGCCCCCCACATAGCGGGCAAAGGCTGGGGCACTTCCCGGGCCATGGTGCTGGGCTCCTGGCTGCAGGCCCCTGCTTTACCCCCCTCCCTCCCCGCTGTCCCCTCTGGCCCAGGCTGGGCTGCAAGGGGCTGACAGCCTGTGCGCCCTCTCCGCCCCTGCCCCAACCTGCTCCAGGCCGGGAGTGGTGTGCAATGACACCCCCACTTGTCACAGAGTGTGGGGGTCCCAGGGGTGGCACTGCTGCCCATCGGCTCAGGTTGCAAGATCTGAGCACAGAGATGCTTAGCGCCCCAAGACGGAGCACCTCACCCCCGCCTGACCGGAGGCCCCGCGGGCACCTCTCCAGGGAGAGCCCCCGGGGTCGCTCCTCACTGTGGGGGCTGCTGCCCGGGGTACAAGGCCCCGGTCCTGGCACCTCCCTCTCCTGTGGTCAGCAGCACAGCCAGCTCAGCACGCACGGCCTCGGGGCCTTCCGGGCCAGGCCAGGGCAGTGACCGGGTGCCTGGCAGGGAGGGCAGGTGGGGCCCCTGCCCAGGGCAATGAGCTTGAAATCAGACCCCCAGACTTCCCGTGGGCCCCAAACTGCAGAGCCAGCCCCCTGATTCCGACCCCTCCCAGCCAGGGAGGAGGGGGGGGGGTCAGGGGCAGCACAGGAGGCCGCTGAGGCCCCCTGGGGCGGGGGGTGGGGTAGCAGCTGAGGTCGGGTCCTGGGTCAGAGGGAGACCCTGGGGAGGCCCAGCCCAGCACCCAGGGCCCTACGGGGGTGGGGTGGGGCAGGAGGACCAGGCCTGGGGTCCCGCTGCCTGCGGGGTTCTCGGCAGAGAGGAGCCGGCCCTGCCTGCGCCCCTGGTCCAGCCCGGCCTGGGCTCCTGAGGCTCCGGGGAGGCTGGGCGGGGGTGGGGGTGGGGGTGGTGCATCCTCGGGGGACAGCTGACCGGCCTCCTCAGGATCGGGGCGCCCGGCCGGACGTGGGTGCCGCGGAGCAGTGGGCGGGTGTGGCACGGCTTCTGCGGGGTTTCCCCAGGAGTCTCGCAGGGCTTTCTTTGTGATGCGAACCACGTTCAGGACTTGGCTTCAAAGAGCGGAAGGGGGGCGGCGAGCGGACAGGGGGCGGGAGTCCGGCGGCCGGGGCCTAGGACCGGTAGTCCTTCTTGCTGTAGGGCTTGTTGCCCAAGATGCTGTCGATCTCGTGGACGATGGAGGACGACAGCTTGGGGAGGACCTGGGAGGACAAGAGCCGGTCGGGCTGTGCCACGTGCTGGCGGGGGAGGCGGCCCAGGGGTGTGGGGTGGCCCCGCTGCTTTCTGTTCCAGAAGGTTCCGGGCAGAGAGGAAGTCCGCCTGGGGGTATACACTGCCCCTCAAACGCCAGCGAACTCCAGAACCTTCTGGGAGGCACCCTGGCCATCACACCCCAAGTGCCTTCCCCGCCTTCTCCACCTCACCCTTCCCTGAGCCAAACCGGGGGCGTCTCTGACTGGCTCCCCCTCACGTCTGTCCGGTTGGTGGGCCAGTTCTGCCCGCCCACCTCCCAAACATCCAGGCGCACCCGCCTCCCCTCGCCTCCACCACTGTCACCGGACCCCACTGTCGCCTCCCAGCACTCCCTGCTCCGTCTTCTCTCCACCAGCAGCCAGGGGGAGGGGGTCACTCTTAAAGTCAGACAGTGCCCCTCCTCCGGGGACGACGGGCTCCCACAGCAGCTAATCACCCCTCACTCCTGTGCCCCCCTCACTCCTGCCTCCCCCCTCCTCACTCCTGCCCTGTCCCCTCCTCTCTCCTGCCCTGTCCCCTCCTCTCTCCTGCCCTGTCCCCTCCTCACTCCTACCCTGTCCCCTCCTCTCTCCTGCCCTGTCCCCTCCTCACTCCTGCCCTGTCCCCTCCTCTCTCCTGCCCTGTCCCCTCCTCTCTCCTGCCCTGCTCCTGGGCCCTCGCTAGCCCTGGCCCCTCTTCACTCATGCCCTCCCCCACTTACTCCTGACTCCCCCCTCCTCACTCCTGCCCGGCTCCTGGGCCTGCGCCAGCCCTGGCCTCCCACCAGCTGTCCCTGCTGCCCGGCCCGTTCGGTCCTGTTTGCATGGCCCACACCTCACCCTGCGGCCTCTGCTCACATGTCACTTTCTCCCCAGCCCAGCCTGACAGCCCCTTCCTCGGCCCACGGCCCTGCCTCCCTGGACTCCGCTCTGGCACCAGCTTCCCCCCTCAGCGCTCATGTGACACCCCTCCACCTCCCTCCCTGCTCCCCTTCGGGGCTGTCCGTCGGCTAGACCACGGCTCTTCGGGGGTCCGCGGACGGAGCCCGCGTGCCTCGCACAGGGCCTGGCACGCAGCAGGTGCTCAGCCAGTACCCGCCGGCTCCCCGGACGCCAGGGGACCCGCTCACCTGTATGGCTCCGATGTTCTCCATCAGCTGCTCCGCGCTGGACGCGCCCAGGAGCACGGAGCTCACGCCCTCGTTCCTCAGGCACCAGGCTGGGGCAGCGAGACAGAGGGGAGCTGAGGGGGCCGTGACCCAGGAGGCACCCGGGCAGGCGCCTTCCGGTTCTGCCTCTCCGCACGGCCGGAGACACCCAGCCCGTCTGCGGCTTGGAGGGGCCTGGCAAGGCCAGTGCTCATTGGTGCCAGGGAGAGGGGAGTGTGGGGGGGGAGACCTGGCACAGACCGCCCTGTGTGGGGAGGTGGCCCAAGTGCTCAGGGACCCCACCTTCTCCCCGCGAATGTGGGACCCCCATTACCCGTGCTGGCTCATTAAGGGGCTGGCCCGGGCATAAGGGACTCCTGACACCTCCCACTCTGCCCCCAGCCCCAGCCTATTACCTGTGGCCACGCCTGCCTCCAGCTGTTACCATGGCCACGCCTCCCCCAGCCCAGCTCCCAGCTATTACCTGTGGCCATGCCCCCAGCTGTTACCTGAGGCCACTCCTCCCCCAGCTCTTACCTGAGGCCACGCCTCCCCCAGCTGTTACCTGTGGCCACGCCTACCCCAGCTGTTACTTATGGTCACCCTTCCCTCTAGCTGTTACCTGTGGCCACGCCCCCAGCCGTTACCTATGGCCACCCCTCCCTCTAGCTGTTACCTATGGCCAGCTGCGGGAGGGTGCAGCCCAGCCGCTCGGCGATGGCCTGCAGCTCCTTCAGCTTGGCCTGCTGGCGCCGGCCCTCCTCACTCAGGATCTTGTCCTTCAGCCACTGGTAGCCCTGGAGGGGGAGGGGAAGGGGAGGGAAGACTCAGCCCCCAGGTGAGGGCAGGTCACCTGTCTGTGCCAGTGGCTGGGGACCGGAGCCAGGGCAGCGCCCCCTCCTGGCCGTTGAAGTGTGGGACTACTGCTCTCTGAAGCCCATTGTCTGGCGGAGCTGAGGGGAGCTGAGGGGCCCGCTGACCTCCCTTCTCCCTGCCCCGCTCCCAGGGGCACACTGCCTGGCAGGGCCCCTGGCCTTGCAGTGGGCTGGGGAGGAGTGAGGAGGGCAGGCCATCTGCCCTGGAACCTGGGGTTTGGGGCTCTGGGGCTGGACCTGCCCGGCCTAGGCAGCCTTCCTCTGCACTCTGCACCCCCTCCTGGAGTCCCCTCTCTGGGGTGTGCGTCTGGGACTCGTCCTGGGAGTCAGTCACCTCTGAGTGACAACTGGAGAAGCTGTGCAGCCCGGGCTCTGAGCTCAGCCCAGATCAGGTGCGTGTGTGCGTGTGCATGCGTGTGCATGCGTGTGCATGGGGGCATCCCAAAGGCACGTGTGGGCCCAGCCCAGGCTGTGAATGTGGAACCCAGGAGGTGTTAAGGGGGTGGGGAGTGAAGGCACTTCTTCACTGGGCACACCCATGGGTGGGCAGCTCCTTCAGCCCCGGCTCAGGCCAGCCCGGCCCGAGCTCCCGCAGCCCCGGCCACGCAGGCAGGGGCCCAGGGAAGGCTGCCAGCACCAGGCTGTCGGCCGGGGCCTCACCTCTACAAAGGCCCACTCCTGGCCTGCCCCTCCCTGCCTGGCCCTCCCTGCCCCCTTCCTGCCGCCCCTCCCTGCCCTGTCCTCCCTGCCCGGCCCTCCCTGCCCCCTTCCTGCCGCCCCTCCCTGCCCTGTCCTCCCTGCCCAGCCCTCCCTGCCCTGGCCCCTCCCTTCCCAGCCCCCCCTGCCACCTCCCTGCCTGGCCCCTCCCTGCCCCCTCCCTGCCCAGCCCCCCCTGCCACCTCCCTGCCCGGCCCTCCCTGCTCCCCCCCACCCCGCTCCTCCCTGCCCAGCCCCTCCCTGTCCGGCTCCCCCCGCCCCCTCCCTGCCCGCCCCTCCCTGCCCGGCCCCCCCCCGCCCCCTCCCTGTCCGGCTCCCCCCGCCCCCTCCCTGCCCGCCCCTCCCTGCCCGGCCCCCCCCGCCCCTCACTGCCCGCCCCCCTGCCACCTCCCTGCCCGCCCCTCCCTGCTCCCCCCCCCCCCGCTCCTCCCTGCCCAGCCCCTCCCTGTCCGGCCCCCCCCGCCCCCACCCCTGCCCGCCCCCCCTGCCCGCCCCCCCCGCCCCTCCTGACCTTCAGGGAGGCCCTGGAGTAGGGCGGGATGCCGCTGTCGTACTTCCCGGAGACGATGCCGCAGGCCAGGGGGGACCAGGTCATGGCACCCACTCCTGCAGGGGAGAGCGGCGAGGTCAGGCCCTGGGCCCCAGGTGGGGCGGGGACTGGCAGAGGGCCGTGGGGGCGGGCAGGGGGCGGGGGGAGGGCTGTGGGGGCGGGCAGGGGGCGGGGGGAGGGCTGTGGGGGCGGGCAGGGGTGGGGGGCAGGGAAGAGGGCTGTGGGGGTGGGCAGGGGTGGGGGCGGGGAGAGGGCTGTGGGGGCGGGCAGGGGTGGGGGCGGGGAGAGGGCTGTGGGGGGCGGGCAGGGGTGGGGGCGGGGCGAGGGCTGTGGGGGCGGGCAGGGGTGGGGGCGGGGAGAGGGCTGTGGGGGCGGGCAGGGGTGGGGGCGGCGCCCACCAATCTTGTGGAAGAGCTCGGGCAGCTGCACCTCCACCTTCTCGCGCTGGAACATGTGGTACTCCGCCTGCTCGCAGATGGGCGGGATCAGGTTGAACTGCCGGGCCACCGAGTAGGCTTCCTGCGGAGCAGAGGGCGTTGGGGAGGACACCGGGCACCCCGGGAGGGCCTGCCCCCTGCCCTCCCCGCAGCTGTCCTGGGCACCTGCTAGGCCCAGCCTGAGGGGGAGGGGATGCTGAAGGGACCGGTGGCCTGGGCAAGGGCTCGCCCGCTCCACCCCCGGCCTCGGCTCCGAGCTTGGCACCTGCTCTCAGGCCGCCCCAGAGTCCTGGGCCCCAGGGGAGGGAGGCCAGAGAGGGTGAGCCCCACCTTCACCCAGGCCGGTGCCGCCCGTCCGAGACCGAGACCCCCTAGGCCGGCAGCCGTGACCGCCGCACGTCCCAGCACGGTGCCCGGACCCACAGCCCGGGACCCGCGGGCCCTCCCCAGGCCGCGCCCGCGCCCCGGCCGCCTACCATGATCTCCATGGAGCTCCAGCGCGAGGTGCCCCAGTACATGGCCATGCCCTGGGTGATGACGTGGGTCATGGCGCGCACGGTCTCTGCAGAGAGAGGGGCAGCCCAGGTTGGGGGTGGCCGGGCCCGGGCCCAGCAGGGCGCATTCTGCAAACACGGGGCCGGAGCAGGGTCAGGGCGCTGCGATGGCGTCTTGCAAGCACTGTACTCCCGGCTCCCGGGGCGGGGGCGGGGGTCCGGGCGACAGACAGAGCGGACCTCCTCCAGGCAGCTGGTCTTTTTTTCTTTTTTAAATCCTCACCCGAGGACATTTTCCCATTGGTTTTTAGAGAGAGAGGGAGAGAGAGGGAAAGACAGAAGCACGTCGATGGGTCGCCTCCTGAATGTGCCCTGATCAGGGGGGCCCAGGCGGGGGAGGAGCCTGCAGCCTAGGTACGTGCCCTTGACCGGAATCGAACCCGGGACCCTTCTGTCCATAGGTCGACGCTCTATCCACTGAGCCACACCGGCCAGGGCCAAGCAATTGGTCTTGAAAATGACTTCCCCAGTAGCACAGGCCTCCTGGGAGCTTTGCGAGAGGGGTTGTGGGGGGGCCAGGTGTTCCTGTCAGGTTAGAAGGGCTGTGGGGAGATGAAGGATGTGAGGCCATTCTAGAGAGTTCTCTAGTCCCAGGAGGAAGCAGGGCCCGACCCTCCCGGCAGACAGGTAGGGATTAGGGTCACGGCCATGCTGGCAGGAGGCAGCGGAGGCAGGTGTTCGCCTGCGGCCGGGCGGCTGCTCTGGGCCAGGCCCCGCGTTTCACGCTGCCCCGGGCCGGAGCGTGCCCCAGCACCGGGCGGCGTGGCTTCTGCTCCTAGTGAAGGGGGGTCTGGGTGACCCTCCTGGGGGGGCCCGAGTCCTAGGACCTCAGCCGCGGAGACCGCCTTCCTTTTAAACGGGGGACCCCCTAGGGCTCCCCCCGAGGCTCGTAGAGGCTCTGGGAAGCGGAACCGGTCGGCTTTCCCTCCCGGGCGGTTCCAGCGCGTGGGGATGTAGTTTTTGAAACAGAACTTGGCCTCCCATTTTCCAGTTCCAATGTCTCAGCGTTGGCGTTGGGGAGGGAGGCGGGGCTCCCCCGGTTGTCTCCCAGGCCCCATACAGTGCTTGCAAGTCCGAATGTGAGGGCGGGGAGCTGGCAACAAGTGTTTCTAAAACAAAGCAGGACGCGGCCTGGCCAGGCCCCGGTTTCGTAGACGGCAGCGGTGGCTGGGCTCCCGGGGGGGAAGGAGGGGGGCAGTCTCCGTGGGCGCAGAGACCCCTCGAAATTCATGCCTAGGCTTCCACCCCTGCAGGCCGCGCCCCGTCCCCCCACCCCCTTCCCAGGGAGGGGAGCGGGCTGGCAGGGAGCCCGGCCCCCAGGGGCCGCCCTTGGCGGACACCGGTCGTGGTGAAGGACAGCGGTGTCGGGTGGAGGGCGTGAGGGTCCCACCTCCGAGCCCTGTGCCCCGTGCCGGCGGGTGCCCGTCAGGCCTTTAGAAACACCGGGACCTGCAGCCATGCAGTGCGAGCGCCCGTGTCTCAGCCCAGGCGCAGGCCGCATGCCGGAGGGGAGAGCCGGCCCGCTCCCGGCCTGGCTCCGGAACTCCCTCCTCAGGAGGGGCCGCGGTGCAGGGCCTGCCATGCAGAGGGCGGGCCGCCAGCCCGCGGTCACGGCCCCGCGGTAGCCTGGGAGCCTGTGGCGGCGGCCCTGGCGGCGGGTGCCCTGGGCCGAGGCTGCTGGGTGGCCGGCGGGCATGGAGCCACACCCGGGACCACGGTGCCCTCAGACAGGCCATGGGCTCTGCCCTCTGCCCACGGGGGGGCGCCAGTGGCCCAGACTCAGGGACAACGAGTCTGTCCTCCGCCTCAATATTTAATGCCGTCCAACAAATCCTTGCCGCTGCTGCCAAGACCCCTGGCATCTCCTGCCCGGTCACAAATAATACATGGGCAGTGCCAGTTGGCAGGTGGCAGTGCCAGTTGGCAGGCAGGAGCCCTGCCACCGTGGGTCTCGGCTCGGTCTCCAGAGAGACCGAGGCCTGCGTGGGGCGGGGTCCTGGGCCCTGAGCGTGGTGCGGGCAGGGGCCACACGGGGCCAGCGGAGGCCCGTCTCGGCTTTCCCGGCTCAGGAGGGGGTCCCTCCAGGCGGACAATGTTCCCTTCCAGTGGGGGGTCAGGCCACACAGCAGGGTGAGCGGCGGGTGGCCAGCCCTCCCAGGGACACGGGCGCCCTGCCCGCCAGCGCGCTCACCGAGAGACGGTGCGCTGTGGGGCAGCTCGCCTTGGTCCGTGGCTTCTGGTTGGGGCAGGGGCCTAACAAACGTGAATTCTGGAGGAAGTGAGACTTGTGGGGGCCACATTCTCAGGGATCCCCCATGTGTTTGCTCTGGTGGGAACCTGGCCTCCCTCAGCCCAGCCCCGGCCCATCCTGCATCAAAGTCTTAGGCCCTGATGGCAGCATCCCCCAATCGGGAGGGCCCGCGGCCGCCCCGGGACCTCGCACGGCCAGGCGGGGGCGGGCATGCACAGGGCGGAGGATGAAGGACTGTGGCCCGTGCAGGGTGTGTGCAGGGTGTCGGCCTGTCTGCCTGGTGCATTTTATGGGGAAGTGTGTCCTCGGGGGAGAGGCGGTGAGTGAAACCACTGCCTCATAAAATGCAGCGCGGACAGGGCCGGGGCCGGCGGGGCACCGGGTACCTTCTATGATGAATGTCCTGGACCTGGAGGAGCTAAGTGGGTCCCCTGGCGGCAGAAAGAGATGTAGAGAGAGCAGAGTTGGCAGCTGTGGGAACACGGGCGGCATGGGGTGACGGAGGGCACGGCAGGCAGGCACAGATCACTTCCGCGGAGCGCGCGTTAGAAAGCCCACGAGCACACACATGGACACACACACGCGCACACACACACACGCGCACACACAAACACGCACACACACACGCGTGTGCACACGGTGTGTATGTATACGTATATGTGTCCACAAATGAAGGGAAAATAACCGCACACGCCCAGTTCCCCAGTTCCCGAAGCAGGAAAGCGCGTGGGGAAGGTTGGGAGAGGGTGGCTGGGAGCCGGGAGGCGGGTGCGGAGGCGAGAGGATAACTGAGGCCAAAACGGCTCTGCGAACCCCTGGCTCTCGTCTCCTCTCAGGGACCGAGCGAGCGAGCGGAGGCCCCGGGGCAGCGATGGAGAGGGAGCGGGTGCAGCGAGCCGTGGACCCCATTTAGCCACAGACGCTTAGCCGCCGGGAGGAGAGAGCATGCCGCGGCCCCGAGCCCAGGGCGGGGACCGGGGGGAGCCGGTGTGCCAGGGGTCCCCACAGGGCGGGGTGGGGGGGAGAGCCGGGGCTGAGCTCAGGCCTCCCTGCCCGCTCTCTCCACCCGAAGGCCTGGCCTCCCCTCCCGCCGGCCTGGGTGCCCGTGGGGCCGTGCTGAGGCCTCAGGCCCTGGTGGGACCTCGGGGCCATGGTGGGGAACCCACCTTCCATGGGCGTGTTGGGGTCCGGGCGGTTGGCAAACACCACGTCCACATACTCCAGCTGCAGCCGCTCCAGGGAGGCCTTCAGACCTGGGGGAGGCGGAGGTGGTCACCGGCTGCCCGGGCCGCCACCCGAGCCAGAGGCGGGACGGACGAGGCGGGCGGTTGGGGGAGGTGGAGGCCAGGGGAGAAGGCAATGCCTGTGCTGGGATGTGGGGGGACCGTCTGGGTCTCCCGTGGCCCATGGGGTGACACCGAGGGTGGGGCAGGTCACGTGGCGTCCCCGTAGCCAAGGCCGAGGGCGTCTGAAACGCACCGGCCGTGACCCTGCACCCGGCAGGGGTCAGAGCAGAGCGGGAGGGGGTGCGGGGCTGGGGGCAGGGTGGCGAGGCCCCCCGTCCCCGGGCTGTTATGGACGTGAACGTGGACAGGAAAGGCAGGGGACACTGGGAATACACAGATGGCCGCTCCAGCTGCCCTCCTGTGCTCGGTGCCGGGCCCCTCGGGCCGCGTCTGACGTCCACCCTCGCTGGGTGCTCCCCGGTCCCGGCCCCACGGCGGTGGCTCTGAGCCCACCAGAGGCTGGGAAGTGACACTGTTCACTCTGATCAGCACAACGGAAACCCGGCTGTCTGTCCTTGCCCACACCCCTGCCCGCCCTCGGGACCTGGGTGGGGGGGGCAGAGCTCCGGGGTCCCCAGGCCTGGGCCTGTGCTCATCGGGAGGGGAGCTGTGCACCCTCAGTTTTGCACCCGGGGAGGCCCCGGGCTCGGGGCCCTCACCTTCGATGATGTGCTTCCGGGAGAGGCCCCGCTCGGTCTCCGCCCTGAAAGACAGGCCGCGTGAGGGCAGGCCGTGGGGCCGGCGGTGGGGAAGGCGGTGGGGCAGGTGGTGGGGAAGGCGGTGACGGTGCAGATGTCAGGGAGAAAGGCAGGGCGTATGCGGCCTTCGGGGTGGAAACCAGGAGGCCACCGGGCGCTCCCGCAGGTGTGGCGGGGGAGGGCGGGGCGGGGCGGGGGAGGGGGGGGAGGCCCAGGCTGCTCCTGGCCGTCCTGGGGAGGGGGTGGCTGTGGGGGGTGGCTCCTGTTTTTCAATTTTCTTTTCTGCTTGGCATGGATTTTTTTTTTAAAGGTTAAGAATGAACCATATCCCGGTCAGGACACAGGTCCGGGCGGCGGGCTCGATCCCGGTGGGCAGCGTGCAGGAGGCAGCTGATCAATGCCACTCTTTCATCACGGATGTTTCTCTCTCTCCCTCTCCCTTCCTCTTGTATTTTAAAGAACGAGCCACAGTTGTAATTCCCAGGAGGCTGGCTCGGTCCAGCCGCAGAGAGAAGGAGGCGCTCCCGGCAGCGGCAGGAGGGGGGGGGGGGCTGAGGCCCAGGGAGGGAGGGAGGGCAGTTCAGACAGTTCACCAGTTATCTGTGTTTCCCAGTGTTTACAGCACCGATCGGCCGAAAAGGACGAACCCACAGACGCAAGCAGAAAAGGGGGACCAGGTCTGAATACAGACAGACTGGGCCGGAGCCGCTTTTTGGGAACTTGACCTCCCTCCGTAGGGATGGGCGCCTGCTGGGGCAGAGGCACCAAGGCCAGCCCACCCGCGGCGGCACCAGGGGGCTGAGCCACAAGGCCCGGCCCCCGCCCTCCCCCGGCCCGGAGCCTCCTCCGTCAGGGGGTGGGCTGGGCTCAGGGCTGCGGCCGCTGCACCTACTTTCCTCCCCAGAAGATCTTGGTGGTGATGACCAGGCTGGACCGTCTGCGGACAGAGCAGAGGAGGGCGTTACTGCACGTGGTCCCTCGGGGGTCCCCCGCCCTTCGCATCGGGGAGCACTGGGGGCTGGGGGGTGCCCGTCATTCAATGTCCTCGCTGTGTGGAGCCTGGACCCTGGGCTCCGCGTGGGGTCAGGAGACCACCCGTGGATGTAACTAACTAGCCACATGGGTGATCTCCCCGACCTGGACCCACGGGCCGGGCATGGGGCCCAGGGAGACGGCCCAGAGGAGGGGCGCGCTGGGTAGAGGGGCCTCAGGAGAATGAGGGGGACAGGGCGCAGGGGGTAGGGAGCAGGTGGAGGGAGGGGTGGGGACAGGGACTCAGGAGACAGCCATGGATGTGACTAACTCGCCACGTGGGTGAACTCCCCGCTGGACCCACGGGCCGGGGCCACGGAAGGCTCAGGGCCCAGGGCGGCAGGAGCCCAGGGCGGCAGGACATGGGCCACGCATCCCGTGGACACTGCGGCAGGGGCCCCTGAGGGAGGGAGGCTGGGGCTCGGGGGCTCGGGGGGCTGGCTGGGGTGGAGGGCCCGGCGTGGGCATGGGAAGGCAGGTTGTTTTCCTGCTTTAAGTCTCCCTGAGCCAAATGGGACGAGCCTGTCCGGAGGGGCGGGGCTGAGTGACCCCGAGGCTGTGCCCGCCCCAGGGCCCCAGGGCCTCGGGGCACAGCGTCCCCCTGGGTGGGGCAGTGACCCTGGCTCTCCGGTCTCCACCGAGATGTAACTGGGGACTGGCTCCCGGGAGCCATCTCGTTCCTTAGGGACCGGGAGGGCTTTGGGGCCAGTTAGAGCCACAAAGACACAGTTTGGGGTGGGGGTGTCGGCAGCGTCTGTCCTTGGAAGCCAGCCGCTCGGCCACCGGCCGTGTCTGCCCCAATGGAGACGGGCGGTGGGGGTGGGGCTCCTGTGCTCCCGGGGCCCAGCCTGGGGCGGGGGGTGAGGGGGGTGCGGGTCCCAAGGTGAAGGCGGTCTTAGAGCTGCCACTTCCTGGGTGAGTGGGGTGTGAAGGCCGGGCCTGGACTGGGTGGTGCTGAGCCTGGGTCAGCCCGGCCAGGAGGCGGGCAGCGGTCCCTGTCCGGGGGGCCGCACCCTCTCCTCTCAGGCCACCCCCGCGGCACCCAGGGCCTTGGGAGGTCCCCACGGCCAGTGCTGCCTGGCCTCACCGGTTAACCTTGTCCCGGGACCCTGGCCCTCTCTCTGCACTGAGGGTTAGGGGAGGGGCAGATGGGGTGTGCGGGGGGGGGGGGGGCACTGGCTCCCTACAGCAGAGACACCGACCTGGGAGAACGGAATTTGGCCCCCACCTCACCACAGCTCCTGGCTCCTTGGGGGCGGCCACCCCCTGTGTGGACCCCGCTCCCTGGAGAAAGCTCGGGGACACCCTCCCTTTCCCCAGAGGGATGCTGGGACAGGAGGTCTGAGACCACCGGGCTCTGTCCTGGCAACAGGACGGGGCAGGAGACCGAGCCACACTCGCCACCCAATCTCAGCCCAGAGCCCCCTCCTCTCCCCTCTCCCCCTCCCGCCCCAGTGTGGGCCCCGGACACGGACCACAGAGAGAGCAGGCACTACCTCCATCCCTTCTTCTTGATGATGTTCCCGAGGACCACCTCAGCCCTGGAAGAAGGAGACACGGAGATGTGGTTACAGCCACGGCACCCACCCACCACGGCAGCTGCTGTGGGTCCCCAAGGGGAGGGCATGGGCCTCCGTGGCTCCGGCAGCTCATCCAGGGTCCGGCGTGGCTGCTGCGCCCACGATGGGTGTGGCACGTGGCCCTCGCTGGAAGGAGCTGGAGTCCCGTAGGGAAGGCCAGTGGCCCCGGCCCCCCGGCCACGGGCAGTTCACCGGGAAAACACCTGCCACGTGACACGGCCCAGTTTGGAAGGGTTTTCTGTGTGTTTGTTAGTCCTCACTCGAGGATGTTTTTCCCGTTGATTTTTGGAGTGGAAGGGAGGAAGGAGGGAAAGGGGAGAGAGGAAGAGAGAGAAACATTCACTAGTTGCCTTCTACACAGGCCCCACCCGGGCCAGGGATGGACCTGCGACCCAGGAACGTGCCCTGGACTGGGAATCGAACCCAAGACCCTTCGGGGTGTGGGTGACGCTCTAACCACTGAGACATAGTGGCTGGGGCCAGACAGGTATGTTTTTAAAAGTTAAATGATTCCTCTTGTTTTCAGAGACAACCGACAGGGACTCAGGGCCAGGGTGGGGTTCTGGCAGAGCTCCAGCAGCCGTGCATGTGTGGGCGTGTGTACGCGTGTGCATGTGTGTATATGTGTGTGTGCACGTGTGCGTGCTCCTCTGGTCTCCTGTGTTTGGATGAGACAGACGCCCTGCTGGCCCCTGTCCGCTCTGTCTGGCGTCCCTCGGGGCCCCACACCAAACTCGGGCCCCGGCCTCATGGGTGTTGCTCCGGCCTCATGGGCACTGCTCCGGCCCGCATGGCGCAGCAGTGACGGATCGCGCTTTAGTTTCTGACTTTTGAGGACGTTTTGCTGGCAGAGTGTCCCTGGGTGAGAGAGGCCGGAGCTGACTCGTGCGCGGCTCCCCTCCATGGAAACGCCGAGTCACGCTCGGGGTAATGCTCTCGCTGGCAGGCTGCCTGGCAGCGCCTGAAAGCTCTCCGCCTCGCGGGCAGGATGCTCAGAGGCACTCAGCGGCCGCCTCCGCAGACCCGGGCCCTCCCGGGACAAAGGTCAGGAGAGGGCGGAGGGGGAAAGCAGCTGTGGACCTGGCTCACAGGCACTGAGACAGAGTTAGCCGAGGCCTGCTGCCCGTGGCCGTGGACTCGGTGAGGCTGGTGCCGTCCGGCCGGGCACAGCAGCCCTGCAGCTCTGGAAGTGCCCAAAGCAGCACCAGCGTGACAGGGGGGCACTCAGCACGCTACGCAACTGGCACCTGGTTAGCGAGAGGCACAGCGCCGGGCCCCGCCCGCTGGAGCCGCCTGGCAGCCCCGCCCGGGCAGCTCCTCCGTGCCTGTCCCTTGGCGCAGCGCCGGCTCCCCCGTGTGGGTGGCTGCGGGCACTGAGGCCTGGATGGGGGTGAGTGGGCAGGTTCAGAGGCCGGGGGCGTGGAGGACAGGACAGGGCGGTGGGCACAGCGACGGCCCCCGGAAGCTGCTCCCGCGTCCTCGGCCTCCTGGAGGCCCCCGGCTCCCGGGACCCGGGTGCTAGTCCCGAGCTGCCCGGCCTGGCGTCCCTTCGCCGGGGCGTGGAGGTGGAGCAGCGTGGCTGCCTGAGGCTGTGCACAGGGCCGGGCCGTCTGCAGGAGGTGGCACAGAGCTGCCCACGGGCCTGGTGCAGGGCAGGTGCGGGCTGTGGCACGGCCTCCGCACGGGCCTCCCCACCTCTGGCCTTCGGTCTGGACAGCGTCTCACTGATGGGCAGCGGCCGCCCGCGTGGAGGGGGTGGCGGGCAGTGAGCTGCTGACCGGGGTTGGGGGAGGGTGGGGTCGCAGTGGAGGCCCCGGGGCTGTGGGATCCTTGGACCCTGGGCAGGACTTGAGCTGAGGCCCCGCTGCTGTGGCCCCGGTGCCGGTGCCGCCGGAGGAGCCAGCGGGGACGGAGCCAGCAGATGACTTCACACCAAAGCGCTCTGGAAACCCGAGGCGAGGTGGAGGGCGGATGATTTGATTACAGCCGGCCCCGAGCCCAGGCCGCGGCCTTGCTGTTACATAATTGAGGAGCCAGCCGCTGCCAAGAGGGCAGTGCTTCTTGCTGGCCGCTCCTGTGCCAGCCCTGCCCTGCCTCCCGCCCCCGGCTGCGCCATTAGGAGGCGAAGATGTCAGGAGAGCAAGGGGGGAGGGGTGGGGGGCACGGGCACGGCAGGGGAGCCGGGGACAGCTTCATCCCGGCCCTGGCGGGGCATGGCGGCGTTGGCACAGAGGGGCTGAGGTGGCCGTGGTGAGCACACGGGAGTTTAGCAAGTGCCCGGTGTGCCAGCGTCCTGCCATCAGGCGCCAGGAAAACCACTGCCCTGAGCCATTTGGAGCTTAGAGAGGCAGGCGGAGGGGGAGGCACAAGAGGGTCGCGGGAAAGACTGGGGGGAGGGGGTGGGACACGTGGCCACACCCCTTCCCACAAGGAGACACGCACTTGCCCGCCGCGTAGACTTCTGCCGTGTCGAAGAGGTTGATCCCGTTGTCGTAGGCCAAGGTCATGAGCTGCTCTGCCATCTGAAACGGGAAGCGGGGAACTCAGTACCTTTCCCTTGAGGCCCCCAGCCCCCCTTCCCACTGCGGCCCCCCAACCCCCCTTTCCCACGAGAAGTGGGGGCTCTGTCCTGCCAGCCGGGGGTGCCCAGAGGCCCGGGGATGCCCAGAAGCCCAGGCCCCACACTGGGCACCCTAACAGGCCTCTGCTCGGCCTTCCTGGCACGGCCTGCCTCCGGACACGGGGTCGGCAGGGAGCAGGGAGCTGCAGGTGTCCGTGGCTGCTCACCAGGAACGCCCTGTGGGCCCGGCTGCCTGGCAGTGCCCACCTCCCTCCACAGCCTGGGGGGCCCAGCTTCCTGGTGGCACCTGCCCCTCCAGCTCAGACCCCGCGGTGGCCAGCGGGAGACTAACCCCGGCATTCTCCCCCCGAACGCAGGGAGTGGGCCCCTCGGGCTGGACGTGTCGGTGTTTTGGAAACGACGGGGGTGAGGGAGCACAGAAACGCCACTGGCTCCTGCCTGTCGCCTGCCAGGACCTCACGGGGCCTGAATCTGTCATCTGTCATGTCCGCTGCCCTCCCAGCTCCGTCCCCTGGAAATGCCTCCCAGGGCCGCTGTCACTGTCCCCGGTGGGGTCGTGGAGGGAGAGCTACTGGCTGTCTCCCACGGGGACGCTGCGGGCAGCGCAGCGAGTGCCCGGGAGTGAGGTCACCCGCAGGGAAAGAGGCGAGGCAGGCGAGACTTGTGCCCGTGACCCAAATGGGCTCCTGCTTCTAGTCTAAGTGCTCAGTCCAGTTTGGCGCCCGGAGAAAAGCGATCCTCATGCCTTAAAAACACCACCTTCCCCCTCCCCACCCCCCGGCACCGCTGAGACCCTACCAGCAAGTGCAAAGAATTATCAGACCTGCTGCTGTCGCAACAAGAAAAAGGCACACAAACACCAATTAGGCCTGGCCGGCGTGGCTCAGGGGTTAAGCATCGACCTATGAACCAGGAGATGGTGATTCGATTCCGGTCGGGGCACCTGCCTGGGTTGCGGGCTCCATCCCCAGCAGGGGGCGTATAGGAAGCAGCCAATCAATGATTCTCTCTCATCGTGGATGACGTTTCTCTCTCTCTCTCTCCCTCTCCCTTCCTCTCTGAAACCAATAAAAATGCATCTAACAAACACACACCAAGCACCTGTATTAGGATTTTGATGGAAGCAGAGCCTTTGCTATGAAAACGAAGCCAGCAGTCGCCGCTGGCCAGGCCGCAGGGGAAGCCACGGATTACTTTTTAAATGCACCCTTCCCGACGGCGAGGGGGGCAAACGGGGAGATGCCCCTCCCGCAGCGGCCAAAGCTCCGAGCAAAGGCCAGTGTCCTCCCCCCCCAGATGCCCACTCACTGCCCGGGGCGGAGGCGGGGGCACGGCGGCCCCGGGACGTACCGTCCCTGCCACACGAACCCGGAGACACGGCTCGCCCTCATCCTGCAGCAAAACTACCGGGACCTGCGGCTCCGGGGCCGGGGGCTGTGCTGAGGGTCCCTCCCGCGGGCTCGGCGGGGGCAGCCCGGAGCGGCCCGGCTCAGCTGGGAAAGCTGCCCTGTTTTCCTGGCTGCGGGAGGACTGGGCCCCCGGGCTCCTGGCTGCTGTGTGGTGCCACCGCTGCGGCTCACCCTCCCCGCCGCCGGGCACGGGCCGGGCACAGGCCGGGCACAGGAGACCGGGAGGAGCTGTGGCAGCTGTTGGGGCCACGGCCTCACGGGGCATCGAGCAGGCGTCACCACCCGCCGGGGCAGGGGGGAGGGGTGGGTGCCCTCGCTGGGGCCTGGCGGGGGGCGGGGGGCGTCTCACCTCGTCGGTGACCTGGCCTCCGAAGGTCACCCATGTTCCTGGAAGGAGACGCACAGGTCAGTCAGGGAGCCTCCGGGAAGCCGGTTCTCCCCTCCCGGGGCCTCAGGCTGCAGGGCCCAGGGCACGGCCACAGGCCGCGGACACTGCTCTATGTGAGCGCGTCCTTGGCGGGTGGACACCTGAGCTTCAAACCGAGGACAGGCAGTGCCCAGAGCGGGCGGCGGCTGTGGGGCTTCAAAACGTTCCTTGGGGCTCAAGTTAAAGGGGCTGCTGTTCCAGGGACGGCCTGCAGGGGGCGGGGCAGGGGCAGGTCCCCACTCCTGCTGGCCCAGGTGTGTGTGTGCGTGCATGCGTGTGCATGTGTGTGTGTGGGGGGGAGGGTGTGGCGCACATTGTGTGTGCACCACGGGGTGGAGGGGCAGCGTGACCGGAGCCGAGCTCACAGCTGGGAAAGGAAAGGCTGTCTCCACCCAGTCCTCTCCCAGGCACCCGTCACCATGGTAACAGGACACACCCATCCTGGCTCTGGGGCAGCTCCCACCCCCGGGGGTCCCCTTCGCCCCCCCGTTCCCAGTGGCTCCGGACCGGGGCCCGCACTCACCCAGCCCCAGGCAGGAGACCCGCAGGCCCGACTTCCCCAGGTTCCTGCAAAGCAAACGCATGCCGGTCAGTGCTCTGCAGCCGGGCAGCACCGCCCGCAGGCTCTGCCCCCATTCCCAGGGGCTCCCTGAGCCCCGACCTTTCCCACTGCGGCCCCCCATCCCCCCTTTCCCACTGCGACCCCCTTCCCCCCCTTTCCCACTGCGGCCCCCTTCCCCCCCTTTCCCACTGCGGCTCCCCCATCCCCCCCTTTCCCACTGCGGCCCCCCGTCCCCTCCTTTCCCACTGCGGCCCCCTTCCCCTCCTTTCCCACTGCGGCCCCCCGTCCCCTCCTTTCCCACTGCGGCCCCCCGTCCCCTCCTTTCCCACTGCGGCCCCCAGCCCCCCTTTCCCACTGCGGCCCCCCGTCCCCTCCTTTCCCACTGCGGCCCCCAGCCCCCCTTTCCCACTGCGACTCCTCGGCCCCCCCTTTCCCACTGCAGCCCCCAAACCCCCCTTTCCCACTGCGGCCCCTCGTCCCCCCCTTTCCCACTGCGGCCCCCCAGCCCCCCTTTCCCACTGTGGGTCCCCAGCCCCCCTTTCCCACTGTGGGTCCCCAGCCCCCCTTTCCCACTGTGGGTCCCCAGCCCCCCTTTCCCACTGCAGCCCCCCGGCCCCCACTGTTCTAAGAGCCGGCTCCCCGCCCCCTCCCCCCAGCCAGCGCTGTTGGAGGCTCTGAAACCAGGGGGACCTGCGGAGAGAGGCAGCTGCTGGCGGCCTCGGGGGAAAGGGCCATGCGCCGCCCCACGTGCACACGGGGCTCAGCATGGGGCTGGGACGGGCCACGCTGGTGACCATGAGGCCACCGCAGAGGGAAGTGGAACGTGGTGACTCGTTTCCCGGCTGAGACGAGATGGACGCGGCCTGTGGTGCTGCCCAGAGTGACCTTTCCCCTCCGCCGGGTCTTCACCCCGAACTCCGAGCAGCGGCCCGGGCGCGTCCCTCCGCAGCAGGAGGGGGGCTGCGGGTCCTGCTGGCTGACCCCCGCCTCTGTGTGACCCGGGGCAGCTGGCTCCGGGATACGCCCTCCCCTCCCCCCGCCCCCAGGCACGCCCCCCTTTACTGGGACACGGGTGTGAGCTGCCCGGATGGTGGTGACCCCACAGCGGGGCCCTGACCTTCCAGTGCTGAGGCCCCTTTCCGGGAGATCCCGATGCCAGGAGCCTGGTCCTGGGACGAGCCCGGGGCGACCCCTCCAGGCGGCGGGAAGTCAGAGAAATGCGGGAGGCGCCCTGTGAGCCCCACTCCTCCCCGAGGGCCACCCCCCGCCCACTTCAGTGGCGCTGCCCCAGCTTCTCCCCAGGCCATCGCCGATGGGGCCACGCCCACCTGCCGCAGCCCGTTTCCCTGGTTACAGACCTGGCCCCCTTCACAGGCAGTCGTGGTGGGGCACGGATGCCATACAGTGCCAGGTGCCACCAAACGTTTGGCACTTGGAAATCGCCGGTGCCCTTGTCAAGTTTCCCAGGAAAACCAGGCCCGCGCCCCGCCCCCCCCCCCCCCCCCCAGGGCCTGCGTGAGGGAGGACGCTCGGGCGCCGGCTCCTCTGTGGGGAGCGGGCACATTGGGCAGAGCCCCGCAGCTGGAGCTCCAACCCCGGCCCAGCTCCCTGGCCGAGCGCTTGGGCCCGAGGCCTCCGCCTGCCCATCTGCCGCCGGCTCCCCACCCGCCTCCCACGGGGCGGCCAGGAGGCCCCGAGCGGGCACACGTGCCCGGGCACCGCGCACCGGACGCTGACGACTCTGCACGTGCGTCTCCACGGCAGACAGCACGGCGCGGGGACGCGGCCTTCCTCCCCGCGGACCAATCAGACGGTGCGTGGCGGCGGCCGCCTTGTCTTTTCCTATAGATCCTGACGTGGCCCAGTGGCGCCTGGCATCACTCGTATGTGCAATCAGAGCCACCCGCACTGTGACTGCTGCACAGAGAGGCTCCTCCCCCTGTGCCCCGCCCCCCGGTACTCGGTCGCCAGGTGTGCTCCATGTTGAGGTCACGCTCCCCACGGGAGCGGGAAGGCAGGTGTGGGAGAAACACGCTGGTAACGAAACAGAAAGAAGAGAAGGCTCCGATCAGCGGTTCTTCCCTTTCTGGGGGCACGGAGCCCTTCGAGAAAGCCCTCCCTGGACGTGGGCACGGACACGGGGACCTCATCACCCCGTCTGCGACGCCCAGGTGTTCCCCGAACCCCCTGCCTGGGCCCGGTGAGTCCGGGTGCCGAGTGGGACCCAGCGCCAGCCCGTGTACGTGTCCGGGGAGGACACAGACCCCGGCTGAGCCACGGTGTCTGTGGCTGCAGACGGCGCGGCCGCGACCCCCGGACGGGCTGAGTTCCCTTCTGCCCCGGGGCAGCATCTGGCGCACCTCCCCCTGCCACCACGGGAACCATTTAGCACAAGTAGGACGTCATGCGATGCCAGGGTGACCCGCTCCCGGCGTCTCCCGGCGAACACGATGGCGCAGGCCCTGCCGCCCGCAGCCAGGCCCGGGAGAAGGAATGAGAGGGGACAGGAGCTGCACGAACCCGCTGCCCCATCGGGGCGGGGCCCCTGACACGTCACCGCGCCGTCCGGACCACGGCCGGTGACACGCCGCCGCTCGAAACCTCCAGGACGCAAAGCCGTTCCCTCCAGACCTTTCTCCCCGGTGAAACGTGAACCACGACAGGACCGCCGGCTCAGCCCGCTGGTGCCGCTCGGGGGCTGGGCATCGGCCTGAGGCCCGGAGGCCAGGACGGACGGACTCCGCTGGGGCACAGGGTCAGGCTGCGGATTTGATTCCCAGCAGGGGGAGTGCAGGAGGCAGCCAATCGATGCTGATGTTTCTCTCATCGATGTCTCTATCTCCTTCTCCCTTCCTCTCTTTCTAAAATCAATAAAAACACGTTTTAAAATAGCTGGCTACATCTCTAAGCCCAAATAACATTAGTCTCCGTTAATTTGGCTCTCTCTCTCCTGTGGTCTGGGGAAAATGCTGCTGAGTTCTCTCGGACTTAGCCTTCGCCCAGGGAGGCGCCGAGGGCCAGCACCGAGGTCACGTGGCCATCAGATGCCGGGAACCGCCGGACGCCGCGCCCAGGTTCTGGGCAATCACAGGCGCTTTAAAAATAGTCCAGGCCCATCCGGCGGAGGACCAGTGCGTGGCCGGGGGAAGCAGCAGGGCTCGGAGGAGCCGGTGCGATGGAGGAGGGACAGAATGTTCTCGGTCAGTGCGGTGACTGCCCGTCAGCAGTCTGCCTGCTTAGACCCCAGGCTCCCGAAGGCGGGCCTGGCAGGGGTGGAGGCCCCCGGGGTGTAACTCGGGGTGAGATGGAAGGCCCTGGGCAGACTCGGGACCTCGCGGGCTCCCCCCCCTACTCCCAGGCTTGACTCCCACTTTGTACCAAGACCTGGGCCCTCGGACAGGCACGTGGCCCTCTGCTGGCCACACACCTCCAGTTCCTGCACACGACAGTGTGGTTGGAGGCGGGCCTGGATCACGCCCCTGGCAGGGGCCAGCCTCCTGAGGATGTCAGGGTGGGGGCAGAGTGGGATCTCGCATCCTGCAGTCTCCTGTACCCTGGCTGTGGCCCTCAGACAATCATATGGAGCAACCCCAGGGGCAGGTGGTCGTGGGGCAGGAACCCTGTGGGGCAGATGCCCTGTTAAGCAGGCGCCCTGTGGGGCAGGCATCCTGTGGGGCAGGCACCCCGTGGGGCAGGTTCCCACCAGGCAGGAACCCCGTGCTTAGCCAGGGCGTCCCGTGGTTTGAGTTCTACCTTCCATTTCAGCTGCTGTGAGACACCCCGCAGAGGATGAGCAACCCCCCTCCTGCACCCCAAGTGCAGCTCTCGGTGGCCACACGCGAGGACAGATGGGGTCCTGGGTTAGGAGGCAGTGGAGCTGAGCCCAGGCCCTCAGACTGCAACGGCCCAGCCCAATGAGCATCTCTCTCTCTTTACTGCCCGGCCGCCCTGCCTCCAGCAGGTGTGTACATACATGCACGTGTGCCACGGATGTGCATACAGGTGCACCCACAGGAGCCCACACGTGCACACACAGGAGCCCAAAGGTGCACACACAGGGACACAAACAGGTGCGCGCACACAGGAGCATAAATGTGCACACAAAGGAACACACATGTGCACACAAGGAGCACACACGTGAACACACAGGTGCACACAGTCATCTTGAGCACTCAGGCTCTGAGATCTGCTCCTCGGTGGACCGAGGCTCCGGGAGGGAAGTCACGTTCACGGCCACTCCTTCCGCCTACACAGCGCTCTGTACTTTTAGAACTGGCCCGCTGAGGATACTGGGTGGACTCAAAGATCGCAGGCGTGACAGGAATCAAAGCGAAAGGGTGTGTCCTGCTCACTCTTAGCTTGTGATCCCCACTGAACAGGAACTGAGCCCCCAGAGCTTCCATCCTGGGTGTCCTTCCTGAGCTCAGAGCGCCAGGCCTCCCCAGGACCAGGGAGGAGGGCCACGGGCACAGACACGGGAGGACTCGGTGACTCCAGCACTCACCTCCAGGGGGCACAAGACTACGACCTGGTGCCTCCGCGTCAGGTCCCACTGGGGGCCCTGGCTGTGGGGAGGGTTAGTCTCTGCACCCCGGCTGTCAGGACCGGCCCCTAACTTCCCAGTTGCCACCAGCACCGGCCACCAGCCACCAGCATCTGACCAGAGAGGACTGGCAGCCCTTCCCGGGAGCGGGAGCCAGCGCCTGCCCGCCTGCCTGCTTTCCGCAGGTGGATTGTGTGGGCTCCCCTCCCCCCAGGCAACGCTGTTCTGGACCAGTAAGGGCTCTGCAGAGGCGCGTGGGGCGAAGGAAGGCCAGGCCCGCAGTGGGGTGCCCACCACCCTGCCCCTGGTGGGTGCCCTTTGCACAGAGCTGGGCTTCCCTTTCCACGGGAGCAAGTCCACCGAGCATCCGGGCAAGAGCCTGGGTGGAGCAGTGGGGTGCGGGGGTGCAGTGCACAGGATGGCAGGCGGGCCCCTGCCACCGACTGTCTCCATGACCAGGAC